CCAAATTAAAAGTTCAGTAATTTATATTAATATAAATTTAAACATTTATTATTTTATCTATACGTTGGGCTTTAAAAGATCTCAAAAAAATTATTATAATATGAATTCAGCAGGTTTATTAATTTAATATGTTGGCCCAAGTCAGGGATCGAAATTTTTTATTATTTAAACGAGATTATTAATTTATTGAACATTCATTTATCAAAGTTTTAATGTAGAATTTTAGAGAGGTGATTTGGACTTGTCATGTGCATGAAGAAGACTTTATACTTTTCTTCTCCATTATGGTCCTGTTTGAGCCACATTTTTGTAGAATGAAAATGAAAAATATAATCGTTATTGGGGCCCACATAAGAAATAGAAAATTTAAATTTAAATATTGATGTGATGGATAACGGTCATAAGATAAAAAGGTGGTCCAAACGGGGGCTATATTTGAAATCTAGAGAAACAACTCCGATATTGAGGGTTTACGTCCTTTTTATTGCAAAGGCATAATCCGTAACATGTTTCCCAACCTGGAGAACCCTCGCGTGGACCAAGCACATCCCTTCTTATTATTAATTCTTCGTTGTTCCTCAATATAGAAACAATAAAAATAAATTTAGTACGGTAACAAAAATGTACATAACTTAAAAAACAGAACTTTACAAGTTACATTCCATCTCTAAACGATATCTGTATCATAAGTACAAAGTATTGTTACTTGTACATAAAAAATGTATATAGTGAATTACATAATATTACGTTGAGGGAAAATATTGGATAAAAAAATTAATTATCTTTTAAAATTTTGATGTACATGTAGCAAGAGTGTCAAAATTATTAGATTTAGAACTTAATATAACGAAAATTACATAAAATTATTTTTTTTGTTAAAATAAATGTATACTTACCGGCAGTGTGAGATTTTCTCCGCTACTCATAGAAAAAGGACTATCTACCCAATTCGTTACTTTTGTGTTTGTCAAATTTATCTCGAATCGTCGATTCAATTTCAACTGGAAATGATTTTTAGATTTTTTTTCGTTACCTTTTCAATTCTCGTTATTTTTCTTGATTTTGGCCATTGTTTGATCTCTATTATTTTCAAAATACACATTTCTCTCTTATTTTCAATCATATATTTATCAATAAAAAAATATTATACGCAAATTCAAAACTTTTTCTTAATTTTCAACCACACATTCTTCATCGAATCACTATTCCAAAATGCTTTTTTTTTTTTTTTTGCAAAAATGGGGTTAAAAAAAACCTTAGGGGGGTGTTTGATGCATATTATTAAGAAAAGAATGTATTTTACGATGTGATCTACTGAAAAATATGTGGTTAAAAAATAAGAATTTTTTTAAATTTAAGTTTAATATTATTTTATTGAAAAATGTGTGATTGAAAATGAATTTTGAAAGAATGAATTTTTTTTAAGGATGTGAATCAAACAAGGGCTTAGTATTTTGTATTATATTCTTTTTTGTTATTTTTTATTATAAACTTCGTTTTCAGCAACTTTTTTTGTTTTCCTTATTTTAATAGTACAATTGTGTTTTATCAATTCATTTCCGCGTGTGAAGCCCCCGATACCAAGGAATAATATTATTTAGGGATAATTGCAGCAGCGGCATCAAACTTTTCATTTAATAACATATTTTGTCCAAATATTTCATTTGTGTCATCTACGATACCAAAATTTTCAAAATACCGCAATTGAAATCCAAATAGATGGACACTGTTAGTTTGAGCGCTAGTTGATCAAATAATTGACGATGACAATAATTTTAACTAATTTTAAAATATTAAAATGATAACTTTACACGTTAATGTAATAAAATAACTAAAATTAAAAATAAAAAAACATACTTCTTCTTCTACATCCACCCCACACATACCCACCCCAAAATCATCGCCACCACTGCCATCTCCCCTTCCACCACCACCTTCATTCTCATCAACAGCTGTTTTATTTTATTACAAAAAAAAAAAAAGTAAAGTTAGTATTTTAACCTTTTAAAATTAATTAAAATTATTGTCAAGTTTAATTATTTGATCAACTAATGGTCAAAATAATAGAAATCACCTATTTGGACTTCAACTACGATATTATGAGTGTGTTTGGTAGGGTTTTTTGGGGGAAAAATTGATTTTTGAATATTGATATGATGGGAAATGTGTGGTTGAAAAAGAAGAAAAAGTATTGATGTGATGAAAAATATTATTTTATTGAAAATTGTGTGGTTGAAAATGAGAATTGATTTATTGTAGAAAATGAGAATTTGTACCAAACAGACTCTATGAAATGTTTGGTATCGTGAGTGGCACAAATGAAAAGTTTGAATAATATTTGCTACTAAATGAAATATTTGGTACCTCTTATCGAATCACTAGTCGTCCATGTCACACGTATACCACGGGCGACTGCGATTGCAAGCCATGGCAAATAGCATTACTGAGTTCTAAGCGTCCCGCATCCCGCCACCTCTCTGTTTCTCCGCCACAACTCCAACAGAGAGAGAGAGAGGGTAATCCATCAGTCTCTCTCTCTACGCTCACAATTTTCATCAATGGAAAGTATGTGCACAATCCCCAAAACCCCATATTTTTGTACCTCAATTCCAGTCGGAACTGCTACAAGACTTCAAGTTTCAATGTCCCCACATGCATTTGCACTAAAATGCGCGTCTAAATCCAATTCGATTAATTTCTCCACTGTTCAGAAGCCGTTCACCGACGATATGAAGGAGGCTCCCAGTATAAAACCTACTTATGAACCTACACCTTCCAATCGTCCTACACGAACCCCTCACAGCGGGTAATTTCAAAAATTTCTGTATTCTATTTTTTAATATAAGATTCAAAGCGTTGCTGTAATTATTTTAAGTAGAGTCGTAAAATTCGATCTTGCGTAGCGTCTAAAGTTTTATTCGTATTATGATGATGTTAATGGTATTGACCTTGCTTCTACCATGATTGCGAGTTAAGCCCTGAAAGCCATGCCCGTATTCGGAATGCAAGCCCCAAGTGCTTAACTCAATTGAGTTAAGGATAAAATTTAATTTACATTTCTCATACTTGACAAACAAGGATGGCGATGGAAATTGAAATCAATGTTAATTTTATTTGCGACCTTTGTAATATAGACATAAATAATAGCCAGGCAGTGGAGGGGGAAAATTCAAATGACTTTTGTTTAGTTGGCTATAGATTATACCTAGTGTTTTTAGTTTCTGTTATCAGTTTATTATAATACTTATTTAAGTTTAGGTTTATTTTTATGCAGGTACCATTTCGATGGTACCCCTCGAAAATTCTTTGAGGGCTGGTACTTCAAGGTCTCAATACCTGAATGTAGGCAGAGTTTCTGCTTCATGTATTCTGTGGAGAACCCAGCATTTCCAAAGAGATTGAACGGACTAGAGGAGGCACAACATGGACCTCGATTTACAGGAGTTGGAGCTCAAATTCTAGGGGCTGATGACAAATATATTTGCCAATATACTGAAGAATCTCAGAACTTTTGGGGGAGTACGTCTTCTTTTAATTCTTCGCTTATATCTGGCTGGTAACTGTTGTTTGTAACTGTTAATTATTACCTTTTTTGGGCTAATCGCTTATGCCACGATGTAGTCAATACATTATGTTTTTTTTCTACACTTTGAACATCTTTTTAATTTTTCATGATAGGTAAGTATTTTATGGGAGTGGCAACTTGATGGGTTGTATTTAAATTCTTGGTTGGGGAGATACACGGGGTTCATGGTCGAGTAAGTACTCTTCCTCATCAGTTGGGACTAGGAACTGATCTATTTGCTGGTATGAGGATACAGCCATAAGCTGGTTGTTGGTCGACTAAGAACCCTATCCATCTGATTATGTCATATTTTCTGAAAAAAACCTTTTTCCATTTATAGACTGGTTTTTTCGTGCGTTATAAGCTCTGACTCAAATTTTCACTTCATTTTTTCTTTAGTTGGACTTTATTTTCATAAAATTTGTTATTTCAAATTAGGTGGGGAGGGAGGGAGGAAGGGAGGGTCTCCTATGGTTGACCATAAGCAAGTAAAGTTTACAATTAGTTTTCTTTTATCTGACTAGGTTTTTTTATCTGGCTGGAATACTTACTGGATGCCATGATGCTTGTTTATTGCCTACAATGTGTTGGACTAGAAGGGACCTCGTAGACTTTGCCTACAACTCAAGGTTCTAAAAGACATAAGTTGTGGCAAGCCTCAAGCCTTACGAGCCTAGGCGTAATAAGGATGTTCCTATTTCCAATATATTTAATTATTATGGACCAATTAACAAATAAAATAACTCATACCTTGCAAATTTATAGGACCTTCATACATATTTTTCATGTTTCCAACAAACCATAATTTTCAAAGTCGAAAATACTCTAAATCAATAAAAAAAATTTCGTGGACATGGAAAGCTATGTTCGTTGAAGGGGTTTGGGCTAGGGTAGGTTTTTTGTTGGACTTATTTCCATTTTAAGTTTTAGCAATGGTCGAGCATTCTGTTGAGTTGGATTTCAAAACAAAGAAATATCACTTTTCAAAACAAAAAAAAAAAGGCGCACTTTTTTTGGCCTAGGCGAGCCTTAGACAGTCTAAGTGGAGTTGACTGTCTATTTTCGACTCTACGTGAGCCTTTTAGAACACTTGTACAACTTGCCTGCCTTTCACACACATTTTTTTTTCTTCTGTTTCAACTTGGCAGACCATTTACTCTTTGAGAAATCTGTTTAGCACTTGCATTCCTCGTGCAACCAGTTAATATATTGGTGCTGTGAAACCTAACCCATATCTAGCACACACTTCTATCATCAACTGAAATCACTTGTTTTCGGGAGGATATTTGTTCATCTGTTACTGACTTTCTGTTAGGATTTACCTTGGTTATATCCGGATTTGGAGTTTTAACATTTATTTTCCTTTGTCCTTTCCGAAAGATCGGAGGATTTCTAGCTGATACCCTTCCCTCTTGTTTTATCCCCCTTCTATTGTGGTTGAAGGTATCTTGAATGGGGCCTCAATTCGTGATTTGATATTCTTATGGTACATTATACGCTAATCATTGATTATAGAACTGTTGTTCTACTCATCTTATTGATAATTTGCCCTATGGATAGGTAGGAATGAACTGATGCTTGGAAATACTTTTATAGCCCCAAAAAATATGCAGGCTCCAAATACTGAGGTTCCTCCACAGGTCAGCATGCTCCCTCCTGATTCTTTTCTTACTTTTATATTTTGTTATCATGAGCAATTTACGTTGAGTCAATTTTTTGATAAACAGTGAAGGATTTAATGTTTGCTTTACTATAATTTCACCTTAATGAGCTAGCTTCAATAGTTCTATGAAAAAAATGATCTCATCTGCCGATATGATAGCTTAGTGTATGGTAGTTTTAGTTATAACAAGTAGTATAAGTATATTTACTTCCTGAAGACCTTTGTTTCAAATGACATATTCTGACATTTTCATTAAACATTATATCCTTAAAATGCAATGTATTAATTGCATTAGTTAAAGCTTGAAACTTCAAAATATAGGAATAGGGATCATCCATGCTGCAGATACTTTTTAGCCTGACAATTTTTCATAAAGATAATAACTTCCTTTTCATCTGCACTAGCATCAAATTACCAATTCCTTTCATGACGTTATGTATCATATTTTGCCATAGGTTGATGCTTTACACTTTGCTTGTTCAGGAGTTCAATCGAAGAGTTTTGGAGGGTTTTCAAGTTACCCCACTTTGGCACCAAGGTTTTATCCGTGATGATGGGAGGTAATCCTTTCTTCCATAACTTTCTATAATTCCATCACGCATTATATTCCACATCAGACGTAAGTATTTTCTTAGATTTTGTTTAAACGACCACCAGAACAACAATAGTTGTCTTCTTTCTGAGTGTAAATGATTCTACATTTTATTTGATTTTTATATAGATAGTCTTTCGTAGTATTAAGAGCCTATATTCACTATTCATTTTTTATTATTTTCTCATTTTCTGGGCGTCGATGGGTTCATTTGTTTGTGTAATAATGATAGAAGCCCATGATTGAGTCAGAATTCAGTACCAGCCTAAACTCGTTTACACCCTGTATACTGTCAAAATGTTTCTTATACTTTCTGGACTTGAATTGACCATTATACTTTGGTTTGTTGATATGGCTTTGGTAAATAGGACACCTTATGCGGAAACTGTTAAGACTGCAAGGTGGGAGTACAGCACACACCCCATTTACGGATGGGGAAATGTTGGGTTGAAGCAAAAGTCAACGGCTGGATGGCTTGCGGCATTTCCTGTTTTTGAACCTCATTGGCAGATATGTATGGCAGGTGGACTTTCAACAGGTATTAAAGTTGTTGCCATCCTTTTTTTTTATAATAAAAATGTTGCTCAAATTGAGTTTGATGATTTGCTGATTGTTTACTGCTTTAATAAAGATGCACCTGCTTCTATTTGCAGCTACTATAAGACAGAAAAATGCACTTGATTTGCAGAAATTACTATCCTTTGAAATTAGGGAGCACGTTGACAAGATATTTATGCATTTCTGACAACAATTCATCGTGAGTAACAAAGTTTACCCATCCTAGTATATCCTACTAGATAACAGCATTCAATTCATACACAATAGTGCTCTTGTGAGATGAATCGTTAATGAGTATAATACCAATTATCCACAAGGGCAAGGAAACAAATATAGTATTAAGGGAATCATAGATTTTCTAATCTACATCGCACAATTTAGAATGAAGGGTAATGCAAGACAATGATCAAACTGATACTTATTTAACTGCCCTAAAAAAAAAAATTTAAAAATGACCTGTATAAATGTCCTATCCTTCAGAAGCTGTAATATTGTTGCAATCTGTTGAAAGCAACATCTCATTCAATGCCTGGTGCATTTTGGTTTACTTTTACTCAACTTATTTTGCTGTAAATAAGATAGAAGGAAGACCTTGATTTTATTTTATTTTATTTTCCTTGTTTCTTCAGAGCACATATTTGCTTTCTGGTTTCTTCCTGCAGGTTGGATTGAATGGGATGGTGAAAGGTTTGAATTCCAAAATGCCCCTTCATATTCTGAAAAGAACTGGGGTGGTGCCTTCCCTAGAAAGTGGTTCTGGGTATATTCTTATCCTTCCTTTTGGCGTCTCCCTGAATCACAGGCACCATCACAGTCAGCACTTTATTAGTTAATTTCTGCAGCGTGTGTATTCTAATTCATATCTGAACTAAATAGCATCAGAAATTGGAGGTACTTTACATCGTTATGATGCACTTATCTGTATAGTGCCATTTCTCTATTATTATGTCATTTGCTATTAAATCCTTGGTTATCGCTGCTTTTTATCCGCACCTTTTGTTTTTATATCTTATAATAAATGAGGTGAAATTAAGTCTCATAAAAGAGAGATCTCTTTAGGCATTCATTTGTAAGTGAATTTCACAGAGGCAATGACTCGAATTGTTTGAGATTCAAGATGTTCCGACCATGTTTAGATCTTTAAAATGTGGTCTGTGTTACAGGTGCAATGTAATGTCTTCAAAGGTGCAAGTGGAGAAATTGCTTTGACTGTTGGTGGTGGATTGAGACAGCTCCCGGGAATGAGTGAGAACTTTGAAAATGCTGCCCTGGTACTTATTTGTCCGTGCTTCCTGTCCAATTGTGATATAATTTTGCTAGCCTTAAAGTTTGCTATCTTGTAAAGAAAGATTAACATCAAGTTATGCATGCAGATTGGAATTCACTATGGAGGCATTTTTTATGAGTTTGTACCATGGAATGGGGTTGTGAATTGGGAAATTGCTCCATGGGGTCAGTGGTGCATATCTGCAGAGAATGAAAAGCACAAGGTATCACATATGTAACAAATGTTTTTATTTCTGATGTTCTAGCACTAGTATATCATCACTAATTTTAATAAGCCAAATTTTGTTTGGGTTCAAAGTATCGTAGTGGTGATTAATAACTGGAAAGAAGAATCTCATAACATTTTGAGTCAAGCTTGCTCTGCAGTTTTGATTGGTTTCCAAATTAAATTCCTTTATGCAGGTGGAGTTGGTGGCAACAACAAAGGATGTGGGTACAACACTGCGAGCCCCCACCTCAGAGGCTGGCCTTGCTCCAGCTTGCAAGGATACTTGTTTTGCTGACTTGAGTCTCCGATTATGGGAAAAACAATATGATGGCAGTAAAGGAAAGGTACTGCTATTCGTCCATGATTTCACTTCAGGAAGTGTCAGTGCTTCAGAAGCTACTATGGTTGTGTTTGAAACCTATTTTAAAGAGAATGGAATTTTTGGAATAGTGATTGTTGGAAAAATGTGTGGTGGAAAAATGATGAAAAATTTTAGATTTGTGTGTAATATTATTTTATTTGGAGAATGTGGTTGAAATGAAGAAAAAGAAAAAAAAAAAAAGAGAATGAGAATGGGTGCCAAACGGGGGCTATATACAATGCCATCTTTCTGTCATCAATTTTTTGACGCACGTCTTTGCTAGGCCAAAACGGGTTAAACTTAATTTGTTGGAGAAGACTTCATCCACACTTATCAACATGTCCAAATTCTTGTCTCCCACCATATCACTCTCCATTTGGAATGTAACTGTCCTCGTCTCATGGTCCAGTTCGTTCATAGCTCGTTTAGTGGAACTTGGAAGAGATCCTTATATTTCTTATAAGTGATTACTGTTTTTATTATGCACGTTTTTAGTGTTTTTAACCTCAAACAAAACTCCTAACTTTAAACTCACCGACTTTTTTCCCTGATGGAAGTCCCTGATGTTGAATTGTTGATAGATTGAATTTCAAGAATATTGTCAAGGGATGATAACTGTCTGTTAATTCCCTTGAGTTCTCAGTCGACACTTGACACTATCCATGCCCACCCAAAATGTGGGGAATAGGCAATTTTTTCTTTTCCCTTGAAAAAGATAAAATGTTCAGAATTCTACATAGGAGAACAAGCCCATCTAAGGGAATAGCAGTAGCAGCCTTTATTTTGTGATACAGAGAGCTTCCAAGTTTCCAAACTTCCCTAATAAATTTTTTTACCATTTTCCTTTTGGTTGGTAGGTTATTCTGGATGTGACAAGTAACATGGCAGCCGTAGAAGTTGGAGGAGGACCATGGTTCGACACATGGAAAGGCAAGACACACACACCGGAAACTTTAAAACGAGCTCTGACACTGCCTGTTGATGTGGAAGGGATATTTGGTTTGGTTCCTTTCCTCAAACCCCCTGGCTTGTAGATGATTTGGTGTAATGCACACCTGCAGCACCTAAATGAATCAAGAGGTAGCATTGGGTTCTGTGTCTAACGTCGATACTTAGGTGTCAATGCCATTATGATATATAGTTTCTATTTGTTGTGTAAATATTGCATTATACTGAGCAACAAAAATGGACAAAGACCAGCCGAGGTGTCATTAACGCCCTCGCAAAGAATGCTCTCTTATATCCTCATGACTATCTGGTTTGAGGAGTCCTCGAACTGCATTGTAATTCGTGATATTGCTGAGTAAACCTATAGTGTTCTGCTTTCAGGAAAAGAAAAAAAAATTGGTTCTCGTCATTCATTATTCTGGACTTGAGGAAACTCGTTTTTCACGTTACGAGTGCAATCAAGATCGTATTTTAGTCCTATCTCTAACAATTTAAAGTTTTAGACTATACCCCACCCCCACCCCCAAAAAAAGTAAAAATCTATTGTGTTTATACTGTGCTTGTGAAGTTACTGCCTCCTATAATAAAAGGATATATTCGTGTGACATTTGAAATAAAGCGTGTTTTGCATCAAGAAACTTTAGTCACTTTTACCAGGTCCTGCGAAGCTGCAGAATCTCCTCTATTGCCCTTTTACAAAGAGGTGGGATGAAAAGATAACTGAAGCACCTCTACAAGTTTCATCATTTCAATCAGTAAAAAAAAGGTTGATTAAAGTAACACGTGGCCCCCCTCCCCTCTCAACCCACCCTATCAGCTGAAAATGGCATTTGTCATTAGTGCACAATTGTTTCTTAAAACATGATTAGACTTGAGGCGATATGATTCAAGAGAGTCCCACTTTCTTGATTGCCTTCAAGTTAGACAACTAAAATAGATTCTTAATGTAGATTAAAATAATCATGCTTTCACCTCCTATGTTGCTCGACCTTGAAGGGTCATTTTGTTTGAATCATATTCATGAGTATACCAATCAATGTTATTTATTATTCATTTTAGTCGATACTCTATCCTTTATGGGTCCTTTACCACATGGTGCACGATAATTTTTAATTTTCTCGAAGTGACTATCGATGCGAAGAGTTTATTTTCCATTAGCTAGAATCAAAATACAGGAGAATATGACCCGCCTCCCAATCCCACAATGTACGAATGATAGCAATGGATGAAGAAAGTGCACGATATGCTCTGACCTTGATTTCCCGACTTTTTAAGACACGACAAGCCAAATATACATACACGCGCCTGTGCCCACGCCCATGTAGAGGTGGCAAACGGGCCAAGCAGCTTGTTGGCTCATCAAAATACATCTTGTGAGCCTCTCGTGCTAGTCAAAAGACGAGCCCAAATCCGAGCTGAGCGGGTTGGGCTTGCTTGGCTCATCAAAAAACGAGCGGCTCGTCCAAGGCGAAGGGTTTTTTTTTAAAGGTTTATCTTAAAAAATTGATGAGTTCGCAAGCCGAAGCTCGACTAGGCCCACGAGCCACGACCTCACGGGCTGAGCCGAGCTCGTGTGCATACGGGCCGAGCCGCTGGGCCCATTACCACCTCTACGCCCATGTAGACCTCAGCTTCCTCTTCAAGTTGTCACACTCGACATTACCATTTACGATGCAAGCTAGCTAAGAAGTACGGACTTGTACAAACCACACGAGTAGGAGTGTCACGACTATCTATATTCTACTTGAAAGATTCTCAAGAGCATGATTTCCACTAGAGTCCAACAAAAGACTTGCTGACTGCTGATTATAGTTCAGGGAAACATGTAATGGAGGGCCCTATTTTTTTGACTTTAAACAGTGATAATGGGGAGAAAAAGGATTCCTTAGTCATAATTAAGCCCGCCGCTCAAGAAATTATTAGCCTTTTATGCATCCAAAAAAAAAAAAAGGACATGGAAATTAAAGCAGACACTGAGAAATTGGAAGACAGGATTTATCATAACTTTATTTGAGACCTTTCAGGTATAAAGAAAACAAAAATGTACTTCCACTTAGAATCATTCTTTTGATTTTATTCACTTAATAAATTAGCTTCTTAGTATATAAATATCAGATTATTCCTCCTTTCCCCCACACTATCTTCCTCTCAAGCTTGTTTTCATCAAGTGGTATATACAAAACACAGCAAGAGTAAGTCTAATTATCAAAAAATCCAGCTTAATTTCAATTAGTAGAATTGGATAAGCAAGAACTTACCGAGTTATTTTTGTACTTTATGATTGTTACAGTGTTGAAATGCTCCGGTGGCTCGGAATTCAAGTCGAATAGGCTGGAAAACATTGAGGAAGACAATGCTGCAAGTTGGCTGCCGGCAACGTGTCCCCCTCCGGAAACTCCAACGGAGTCCATGGAGTTCTTGGCTAGATCATGGAGTCTGTCTGCAAAGGAACTGTCGAATGCTCTTTGCCACGTCCAAGTCGTGAAGCCACCTCCATGCTCTCCCAGTGGTACTGCTCGAGCTGACAATGGAAGCGCTTTGCTCCCCCTGAACGAACCTGTATGTATTTCAATTTTATCATTACGACTCAGTACTCCTGCGAACAGTAAAAGCATGCTTCATGCATAATATTTGACAATATTAAGAGTATGATAAACAAGATTTAGAATTCTATTGAGTAATGACTAAACAAAACTATATAGGTTGCTCTTATTATTTGTTTACCTAGTTTTTCCATTTTCTTGAAGAATCAACCATTACCAGCTTCAGAGAGTCCTCCATTATCTCCGGGAGGAAGCCACGAGACGAAGGTAATTCCTCCAAAGTCTGGGTCCCTCTGCTTTGTACAGACAACGCATGGAACAAATGAACCACCACAATCTCATTCTTGTGTAGACTTAGACAAAATAATACACTCTAGATACTTCCATTCTTCATATAGTTTCATTCTAGATGCAAAATAGCATTGACATGAGCACCAATTCATACATATCTTACGTCTGACTGCATCATGTTCCGAATTTTTTTTACAACCAGTTCGATCTATACAGGAATTGCTTCAACTGCATCAAGCTTTCAATCAGGAGCTTCTTTCTAATCAACAGTTGATGAGAAATGGGGTATGAAATTTTTAAGCTCAACCAACATAACTATCATATAAGAAGCCATAATCAGATTCAGGATTCTCCTGATCACTGTGATTGTCTAACAGCTCTACTGGAGCATTATCAGGAGCAAGAAAGTAGGTAGATGTTTAAAAGATCAAAAAGAGCGGAAAAGGCAGGAGATTAGAGCTCACAATGCTCAATTGCATGCGGCAATATCCGTGGCAGGGGTTGCAGCTGCAGTGGCTGCCCTTGCAGCCTCGTCAATAACCTCTCCGGAAAAAGCAACCGCCCAAAATAAGAAATCTAACGGCATTGCATCTGCAGCTGCTCTTGTTGCATCGCACTGCATAGAAGTTGCAGAGGATATGGGAGCTGATCATGAACAAATCTTATCGGTTGTGAATTCAGCAATCAGTGCAAGGACTAATGGCGATATCATGACACTTACTGCTGGAGCTGCTACAGGTGTAAATTTAATTGCTGTCATAGATTCCATTGATCTAAATCTAAATAAATCAATCAAAGTTCACAAATGGGAACAATTTTATTGGCTTTCTTGTATGTCTAGTTAAGGTAGCTTAATGAAAGATCAAGGCAGAGTACAAAGGACCAAACTCACGTAACCTGACTGGATAATTTTTAATGAGATTTCTAGTGATTTGTGATGAATTGCTGCTCACAAGAAACTACCTCTCATTACAAAGGAATCAAAAGCTATTCTATCATACTATATTCTGATTTGTGATTAATTACTAATACAGCATTAAGAGGTGCTGCCACTCTTAGAGCAAGACTACATAAGATGCATGGACCTGCAATTGCGCTGAATGATGAAAATGTTCAAATCGGCACAGAATCAAATACCTTAGCAGCATTAGATTTTGTTACAAGAGGGGAAGAAGTTCTTAAACGCACAAGGAAAGGTAACGATACAATGAATGTACTTGTGCACCAACGGAGAGATTGTATTAAATTTTTATCATAAAATCGTGGTTTTTACAGGAGATCTCCACTGGAAGCTAGTCTCATTCAACATAAATTCAAATTCACAGGTAAAAATTTTGAACACTGCTGTATTCTCATAAACTTCAAAACATGTTAATCCTATATAATGAAACAGGTTGTGGCAAAAATGAAAAGCAAGCACATGGGAGGAACATTCACTAAGAAAAAGAAATGTAAGAAAACTATTTAACAGTAACAGGTGAAGAATTACTTCAAATATCTTCCACTGTAATCTGAATTGTTCTTTTTCCTGAGTGCAGGCATAGTCTCTGACGTATATTGTGACATCCCAGCATGGCCCGGACGTGACACAGAGAATAACAAGCAAATGGCCTATTTTGCAATACAAACTGCTGATAGGACAATTGAGTTTGAATGCAGAAACAAAGGGGACAAACAGATGTGGGTTGAAGGAATCCAACATATGTTGCATTTGTGTGTGAAAATGACATGATTTTGAGTTAGAGAAGATCAATAATTGGCATAAAAATGGATCTTTATTTTTATGAAAAAGCTAAACAGTATGGTATTCTTCAAGAATACAAACCCAGCAACAGATAACCAATGGATATATAATAAACAATTATCTAGAATGTTTCGGCAGATAATTCTTGAAATTGCAATCTAATTTATAGGGGAATTGGTAAACGATGCTCTTGGTAATAGTCCAATTGCCCCAAAAACTCTCTTCCGTCATGCACCTTGGTAGGTGCTTGCCACTCTATGTGAATGGAGTAAACATAGTGATTCTGTCACTCTAGCTCCTTCAAAAAGTCAATATTATCGACGAATGCCTGCAAACAATCGTGAGATTATTAAATTAAAATATAAAACATCAATTAGAATATGTGAACCTATTGAGTGAAAGACAGATCAAACACTTGAAATTAAATTTTGATAGATAAGAAAGAGTTGTGAGCTTTAGCCTACAAAATTTAGGAACAAAGACATCGATAACATAAAATTCAAAATTCCACGAAAAAATAACATTTAAATAAACGAAAGACATACCGTTTTCCAACCATCAGGATCCAAGCATACAGTGATTTTAGTATTTATCCCCTGCAAGGGTCCAGGTTCACGGATGATTTTTCCTCCAGAAAGTTTTATAGCTTCTGCAGTCTTATAAACATCATCCGTACCAATCGCAATCTGATAAAACCATAACAAATTTCATGACTATAGAACTTTGATAACCACATTGTCTGGTTTAAGGAATAATTTCCCAAGCATGTAATCGATTATAAGTTTAAGGTTGAAAATTTACCTGAGCATAACCATTTCCTTTGTCATATTCTCTGATGCCATAGTTATATGTCAATTCCAGAACTGTATTTTTATCTTCAGGGCCATAACCCATAATGGCCACTGTATACTGAATATAATTATCCCAAGAATAAGAAAAAAAGAAAAAAAGGTGAGATACTAAGGAATAGGCACCACATAAAATTAGTTGATTTCTCCACATAGACTCACTCTATATTCAGGGTTGTCTCTTTTCCGAAGAAGCTCCATGCCAAAACCCTTGATAATTTCATGATAAATAGAGATTGTTAAATATATTTACCGTACGCTTACCACAAAACATGCAGTAATAATAAGTCTACGAAAGCAGTTTTTCTTAACATGTATCGTTGTTCACCTTTCTGTAGAAATCAATAGCTCGATCAAGATCTCCAACTCGAAGCATTACTTGACATAAGGGCTCACGAGTAGGCCTTCTCTCTATAAGCTCAAACTTATAGCCATCAGGATCTTCAACAAAAGCAATAACTGTACTTCCACCTTTGACAGGGCCAGGTTCCCGGGTTACTTTGCCAACCTTAGTTTTTATTAACTCTACTCTTTTTGCAACCTATATAGGGTTCCGAAAGATGCACTAAGTACATATAAAGACATTCATACATACATTTGTAAAGCAATGAAAGATGATAGCTCAATGTACAACACGCAATGCTTAAACCACGTGGTTATCACTGAACCTAATTCTAGAATGATAAATAGAAAACCGTGACAATGAAACGAAATGTTGTGGAGGCCAAGAATCCCACTTCATTGGCATACTGAACAGAATGAAGAAAAAATACTAGTACATCTGTAGTGATGCTGAGTTGGCTTTGGTCTAACCCATCATCAAATGAGGCTCAATTTTGACCAACTCCCTTAACATGCATAAGAATTAATTCTTAAAAACAGGGTTCCAATTTTTTGATACTTCATAATTTCCATTACAAATGAGAAAGGAGATTGACAAGTAATCACGTCATCAGCAATATACTAGAGTTTGTTGGCAGCTAAGAACCTGAATTTTTTTGTACCTTTCATGGGAATAAAAAATAAAATTAAAAATTATATTAGCCCGTCCGAGAAATGAATTTAGGATATTCTTGCTTCAGCCAACACTGGACAAACACAGACACAAATTATGCTACAATATGAAGCCTAGTTGCTTCCTCAATATTGGAAACATGTCTCGAGAGATTATGTTAATCACCTCAAAAGCCTGCCACGTTATGCGTACTCATCATTGAATTATAAAATGATTTGGGAGCCAGATTAACAAGTATTCCTCAAAAACTTTGAACTTGGGTCCAGAGAATGCCAATTTACTTGCAAGTTATTCTATGGTTTTCAGTTGATGACAGAGTGTAATATGAAGCTTCCTCGTTCAGGAAAGTAAACATTATTGTGCTATACCACTCTTTTCCATTTATTTCACTTACATCCTCAACTGCTATGCCGAAATGTCCAAATCCTGTTCCAATGTCATACTTGTCAACTCCATAATCTGGAATCCATCAAAGTCCATAAAAGTCAGCAACCGAAGCAGTACAATTTAAAGTTAGCCTCTTTCGGTAAATATCTGATAAAAACAGCAGTAATGAGATGGCATACTGTAAGTAAGTTCCACAGTAAAATTTGAATCTTCAGGCCCATATCCAAGAAATGCATTCGAATATCTTTCTTCAGGAATGTCACGTCGTCTCAACAGCTTCATTCCCAAACATTCAGTGTAAAATCTGTTCCCATTGCAAGTTTATTGAAACATGCATATATAAACATTCAAATTTATTAAAAGATACATACTTGATAGTCTTGTCCAAATTTCCAACTCGATAAACAGCGTGAAGCATTCTTCTGTTGTCTCTTTTGGTCCATTCAAGAACATTTTCCGCAGTTACTGAAGTGGTTGGTTCAGCATCTACCGGCAGCATAGAGGTCTCGGATTTATTTCCCACAGTTCTTGACAATTTTGCATTTGCATCAAATAACTGTGGCTGAGAAATAGCTGGATAATGAAATAAACTCCAATGAGTTATCTCCCGTAAGTGCCAATTTTCGTCCTTACCAGAATATACCCTTCGAAATATTGATTATAAGAAGAAAATAACCAAGATCATAAATAAGAAATAAAAAAGAAGCAAGTATTCTGGAAGATTTTTATTCATCCTAGGAATTCATAATGCCTCTATCAAGAAAAACTTTCTGTTTGGGGTATCTAGTATTAAAAATTAGAGCTTATAAGTAAATTTGCTTAAAAGTTTTAAAATAAATTAAATCAAAATTAGAAATAGTGAAAGAGTTATTTAAAATAAGTTTGTCAATTGTAAAGCAGACAAAAAGTAACTTGCCCAATATGTAGTATAGTTTGAAACAAAGATACATTCCCTGTTCTGAAGCTCAGCCAAACATGCTAAACCTAACCTTTCAAATTTCCTTCAAAAACCAGAAAAACTCAAAAGAATGCGAAGCCCAAATATTGTTTTGCTCACATGAATTGAATACACAAATAAAATCATGTAAAAATGATTTATAAGAACATATAAGTAATTTAAATATAAAAATTGGTCATATGTAAATACAAAATTTAAAAAATTATGAGAGCATACCAGTGACGAGCTGAAAAAGTGCGATTCTACGAGACGGGTTTTCAGCAGAGGCATTAAAAACCCTGGTTTTGTAATTATTAGTATAAGAAGAAAATGTACTGAGAGGAAAACAAGGTTGAGCTGACGTCACTTGAAACGCCATCGGAGACCACCGTAATCTGCGGTAGTTAACGCCCGTCACTGCTTTCCAGTATTCGTTCTTAGGATTAGTTTCAATTTTGGTCACTTAACTTTAAGATAAATCTTAATTGGTTACCAAACTTTAATATTTTGCAATTATACCACTAAATTTCAATTTTATTTTTAATATTTAATACTAATTACTACACTGGCCCCTATTATGAAATTTAACGCCACAATCCTATTATTATACATTGACTGCAACAAATATTTAATACTAATTACTCCACTAGCCCCTATTATTAAATTTAACGCCACAATCCTATTATTATACATTGACTGCAACCTAATAAGGCTTATGTTCTAAGGTTAATACATTACCTAGCCATGTTGTGGCTGCGAAATTTTGAAAATAAAAAGGTATTTAAAAATAAACGACAATTCATTTGACGGAGTATACTCAAAGCTCCATTCATCCCTAGTTTAAGATAAATTTTAACATTAAGGGTGTGTTTTGTGGATATTATTGAGGAAATAATGTATTTTGAGCATGTTCATGTTTGGCTACACTTAAAATTCAATTAAAATTGAAAATATAGTCGTTATTGGGTCCTACTCGTCTAATAGAAGTCAACAATGACGGCTAATTTTTCAATTTTAATCTGATTTTAATATCTACCGAACACGCCCTTTAAGTAGTGATATGATTAAAAATATGTGATTAAAAAATAAGTAAAAGTTATTGATGTGATGAAAAATATTATTTTATTAAAGAATGTGTGATTAAAATGAATTTTGAAAAAATGTGTACCAAACAAGAGTTAATTTATAACGGAGGCTATCAGTGACTAATATCCTAAGTAAATTGAAATTCAGCCCCTGTTTGACACTCATTTTTTATCTCATTCTCATTCTCATTTTTCTACAATACTCATTTCTAACCACACATTCTCAAAATAAAATAATATTACACATAAATCCAAAAATTTTTCTTACTTTTTAACCATACATTTTTTACATCAATCACTATTCAAAAACTCATTCTTCAAAAGAATGGGTGTCAAACACACACTTTTACTGAAAATTCAGTGACCAAAAATTAACCCTTTTATCTGCTATTCATGGGCTGGGCTAATTGGACTGAAATGATGTGAGCCCATTAAGTTTGGAGCCCAGTTTCAAGGGAAAAATTACATCATATACCTTACATCCTTCCCATATTCCACTCTTACTTTTGAACCTTTTTTAATTTATACAAAATACTGTAAAAAAGTAAAAATGAAATATCTTTCCATACTCCACCCAAGCAGTGGTCGAGTACTTGTGTACATAACTTTATCTATCTCTTTGCTTGGTTTAGATAAAAATCAAATTTTTAGTAGATTTTGACAAAACAGATGAAATATATAGTTGACCAGTCGATAAACATTATGAATCTCATGAAATATATGATTAAAAATGAGTTTGAGGAAAAATAAATTTTAGAAAATAAAGGCTAAACAAGGGTTTAATTAAAACTCTTGTTTGATTAAAACGCGGTCTTCTTCACCATCTTGGAGATTCTCGTAGCATTTTTTTTTTCTTTTTCAAAAGAGATCTTATTAATTTTTTCAATAATGCCTGAGAATGGGGCAATAAGACAAATAAAAATGCAATAGAAGAAGTTGAATTTACGACATGAAAATTAAAAAAAGTGAAATAAAAATTTTGTGTGCTAGCTCTTCTGTGTCTTTTATGTAGTGGTGGCAAACGAGCCGAACCGAGCGTTGCCCACGAGCTCGGCTCGTTATAGTGAGCCGAGCCGAGCTACTCGGTTCGGCCCACGAGCTCGCCTACCGAGCCGGCTTGCTCGGCTCGGGCTCAGGCTCGGGCTCGTTTTTTGACGAGCCCGAGCGACTCGTGGGCCGCTACAGTACGAGCTGAGCGGCCTAGCCGACGAGCCGCTCGGCTCGATTGCCACCACTACTTTTATGTATACCTTCGATGCGTGGATTGATGCCTCGGACAAAATTGTCGACGGATATGGCACATCACGACTTTACTACTAACAATAAATTAAATTAAATTAAATTTTAATAAGTTTAGAGTTGATCGTTTCAATATTTTTCTGTTATGGTGTTCGGTTTATTAGTACATACATATAATTCGAAAGATTTATCTCCCTATTTGATCTCTAATATAATTTAATACATTTTTTTCTCTCTTCATTTTAATCACACATTCATAATTCCACTTTACCCGAAGAATTTCACCAGAACTTTACCAGAAATCTCACATGGGGGTGGGTCCCACTGTGAATAAAATATTGCAAACTTCTTTGTGGGTTTTCTGTGTGTACAGTATTATGTACACACAGCATGGTTGAAAATAATATTATATGTAAACCTAAAATTTTTCTTATTTTTTGAAACACATTGAAAAAAAAAAAAAATTACTATTTTAAAATACATTATCCCCAAAAACTCATTATAATGGATCCTAATCGGGCGCTTAATGTGATTATTTTTTATTTTTTTTGAAAGTGACGTCAACATTATTAAATTTCTAACAAGCAATATAATACTTGATTGTTTAGTCCAAATTTCTCTTTCAGCGTGCTTTGTTGCGATGATACTACTTTCATTAATTATTTATTTATATCTAAGTACTAAGACTCGTGGTTAAATATTAAAAGATTAACTTTGTTAAATGAAGTAGCCCAAACCCCTTGTATGGCAGTGATTTATTTTAATATTTTTCGATATAGGATTTATCCCTTTTAACATTTTCTCGAAAGATGGTGACTTATTTGAGTAGAGTTGTTCGTTTGAGCTTAATGAGTTCTAATATTATATTAAAACTTAAGGCTCCATCCTAAAATGTTAGCGTTGTTAAGGAAGTAGTCTAATTTTTTATATGTTGGTTAATTTATTTTATGATTATTTGATGTGGGATTTATTTGTTAATATGCCCCATAAAATGGTGACTTATTTGAACATACTAACCTTAAAATCTCGAATGCTCTTTTTTTAGTCTTAATCGAGTATAATTGCTCGTTTGAGTTTAACGTATTTTAATACCTTAACAAGTCTCGAAGTTCCATTTCAAAAGGTTAATCTTGCTAATGAAAGTAGCACTACTGACCCGTTGCATTATCCGAGTCAATGTCCGGGTCGGATCTGACAACTATAGTTAATACTAATCTATATTCTTATTTTATTATATATGTCATACGTAAATTATATTTCAATTTTAACGTTTTCAATTTTACTATATATTCCACGAAGTTTCAATGACTTTTAACATCTACCTTTCTCTAAACTTTTGCTTTACATCCTCGTCGATTCCCATGTCTTTGTAAGTAATCCAACTTCATAAAAAAGTAATTACCTTTATACACAAATTTTATATTCTAAAGCAATTTCATTATTGTACTTTAAATAAAGTAGAAACAAATATTCTTTTACCAAAATGTAAACACTCTTGTTGGAATGTTGTGTGGACATCATAAACTAAATGGCAAAGAAGTGTTATTTATTAATAATTCAATGTGAATTGTCATTAAATATTGATTTTAAGAGAGTGTAATTTATATTTTGAGTTTTACACTTATACCATTTGCAATATTGAGTGTTATATTTTGAATAACGCAAAAATAGTGGAAGGTCACTAATATCGAGAGCTCGAAGGGGTGGTTCGAAGTATTCAAAATTGTGCTAAAATGATCTATGTCGACTTGTTAAAATAAGAGGAGGTCTAACATGATTACAAACGCTATTCATGTTGGACCTAGACAGGCAACCGTCTATTAGGTTTCAACTTGGATCAAGCCGTTCTTGTCACGGACAATCTTTCTACTTTTAAATATCCTTATAATGTGGGTTATTAACGTCTTTTCCCGCAGTTAATATGTAAAATAGTTTAAGTTGGTTATATTCACACTAAATTATTTTATAAATGCATCGAATGCACCTAACTTTTATTGATTGTCACGTTTATGTTCTCAAGTTTTTCAGTCACAACATTATCGTTAGTTTTTCATTAATTGCTAAATCTTGTCCTTAATGACGGCTTTTATCCAAAAATTTTGTTAGCGTGCTTCAAAAAGAGTGATAAATATTTAGTCATAATTTTTTTTTTCGTCGATAGAAACAATAATCAACGACACGACGAAAATTTGTAGTTTCAGAAGATGGTTCATGATCAAATTTAGTGATTATTTTTTTCTTGAGTTTACACCATTTAAACGTCAAATGGACCAAAGGAAAATCATATCAATGAAGTTGGAAGAAGACCAAACAAAATGACATACCAACCTAAACATACTCATTGCATCCCACCAATTTCTTTAATCAAAAGCATTTCAGCCTTCCCTGTACTTGGATAAAAAGAAATATTTTCTTTCGTGATTGACTCAATTACCCCCACGAAATTGGTGCTAATAATTCTAAGCGTATTTTGATAATTTTCATTTCTTTTTATATTCGATCCGATTCAATCGAATATCATTTCACTTCTTTGTTTACTACTATTATAACATTAATTTAACAAAATAATACTAGAATTTTTAAATGTATTGAACCATCCATAGTGGAATGGTTGAACCTAACAATTTTTGTGTACGATAAACTTCAATGAGGTAAATTATGCATGCAACTTCTAATGTGAGTGGGTTTCATTCACGTTGTACATTGAAATGAGTGAATTTTTTTTATGTGATTGTGCATATTTAGCCCCTGTTTAGTACATATTCTTTCGAAATACGTTTTTTCAAAACTCGTTTTCAACCACACATTTTTCAATGAAATAATATTTTCCATCACATCAATAATATTTCTTTACTTTATAACCACACATTTCTCATCATATCACTATTTAAAATACATTATTTCCTTAATAATTTCCATCAAACACACCTTTAATTGATTGTATGTGGACTGAATTCTCAAATTTATTTGAACTACTCTTGTGAAGTTCTTGTGTTTAGAAGAGTTAGTTTCTTTGTGACCTAGTTTATTTTGTGTGACTTGTAAGAATTTGTAAACACGTTACATACAATGTAAAGGTACCACCAATCGTAATGATGTGATGTTCTTGAGACAAAGAAATTAGATGGGTTATGTTGTGATGTTGTGAACCTTAGTTGCGTTGTTGTGACCCGGTGCCAAGTTGAGGATTACGAATCTAGAGTAAATTTTATATTCACAATTAGTTGTTGCTCTTGAAGAACGTGACATGGTTGATCATTTCAAAGAACAATTGAAACTAGGACGGTGACCTCTAATCAATTTTGAGGGTTTGATGAGAGGTTTTCCATTTAGGCATCCGTTTTTTAAAGTTAAATAAATGCCTAACCTAATTTTTCCCAAAATGGGAGTACAAACCTTTCAACCAACGCCCAAATTAATTTCAATATTGATGAAATGTGTAGTTAAAAAGATTTTTTTTATTAACTTTTTTAGCTAAACCGAGGACTTAATCATGAATGTGATAAAATTGAAACTAATTTTATTATTTGTTTAGAATGGAACAAAAATGATATAATGAGCACCGGTGCTCATCTTATCCTAAACACCAATGAGTTGGCACATTAATTCATTGGTGGATTGGAACTCACAAAATCTTTATCCACCAATGAATTAATGTGCCAACTCATCAGTGCTTAGAATAAGAAGCTCATTAGATCATTTCTGTAGAATGGAAACCTTAAAATTCAAAATAAGTCAAAGGGCAGTTTTGTCATTACACAATCACAATAATGTTGCGCATGAACGCCACCCCATAGCTCTGAATATGATGGAATGTTTCTTATATATATAGTAGCTTATCAGAGGCCAAGAAACTGCACAGCTCCGTTAGGCATAATTTAAATACTTCCAAACCAGTCATTTATTCACCGGCGCCGGAGCAATCATGGCTAAGATTGCCTTGGGAAATACTCGAGAGGCCTTTCAATCGGACTGCATCCAGGCCCTTATTGTGGAATTCATTTGCACGTTTCTTTTCGTGTTCGCGGGGGTTGGCGCTGCCATGGCTACCGGTAATGAGTTGAGATTCCTCATTTGAATTCTATTTTCAACTACGTGCCTTTGACATAGTTTTAACTTTTTAACAGATAAGCTGAATGGGGATCCGTTGGTGGGACTATTTTTTGTGGCTATGGCACATGCGTTGGTGGTGGCGGTGATGATTTCAGCCGGATTCCGCATTTCTGGTGGCCACTTAAACCCTGCTGTCACCCTCGGCCTATTAGCCGGAGGCCATATTACCGTCGTCAGATCAATCCTCTACTGGATTGATCAGTTATTGGCTTCTACAGCAGCTTGTGCGCTGCTCAAGTACCTCACTGGTGGATTGGTTAGTACATCTTTGCTTTTACAAGTGCACTCAGTTTTGTCCTACAAAATGCATAATCCTTAAAAAATATAGCTGAAAAACTACCTAGCAAAATATAGTTTCATTCACTCCGGCTTAGTCTAGGTAAATAAAGTGACATAGAGCGTTGGTTTTTCGATGATTTCTTGTTATTTCTTAGCTAGCTAGCTGTGTCATGTGGACGATCTTTTAATATTGTTGATAGCCTATCGCGACTCTTTATTCATGGTACTTCTCGAAAAAACTTAAAACTATTATATTCTAACATGGAATCTTGTGATTTCTTGATTCTTGCAGACTATACCAGTACATACACTTGCAACTGGGGTGGATTTCATCCAAGGGGTAATAATGGAAATTGTATTGACATTTTCATTGTTATTCACTGTTTATACAACAATTGTGGACCCCAAGAAGGGGTTCCTTGAAGGGATGGGCCCACTTCTTACTGGGCTTGTTGTTGGGGCCAACGTCATGGCTGGTGGGCCATTCTCAGGGGCTTCAATGAACCCTGCAAGATCATTCGGGCCTGCTTTGGTCAGTGGTGATTGGACTGATCACTGGGTATACTGGGTTGGACCGCTCATTGGAGGTGGGCTTGCTGGATATATCTATGAGAACTTCTTCATTGTCAGATCTCATGTTCCACTGTCCGGAGAGGAGGTTTTTTAATCTTGGCCCACACCAATTAACATATCGAGTTCTCTGTTGTTAATTTTATTAAATAATCGAGTATTGTCGATGTTATCATGTACGCGTCCAAATTCAAAGATTTACTCTCGTTACGCACAAGAGCATGAAAAAAAAAAAATAAATAGAGAAATATCGAAGTTCGATCCAACTAACATCTAAGGGTTAATATGCGTTTTATGCGAAATTTAAATTTACCAAT